TTGGGACAGTTCGACTCCTTACTTCGATTCTGTCCGCGTTCTGTTCTGGTACGTGTGCAAAAAAGGACTGTTCTGAATTGAATCTGTTCGATTTTGAAAACGTTCGAATTCGTCGTACCCCCAAGAACCCCACAAGAAATTGTTTGATCTGCAGGTATACGGGTTACTGTAGTCGAAAAACATTTTTGGCGGAAAAAAATTTTTTGAAATCTTTTTTTTCGAACAAGTACAGAAATGTTATTTACAGGGATGCCTGGAATGGATTTTTCAGAATTTTTAAAGATTCAAATTTTAAAGTAGAAATTTCATTTATCCATTACAAAAGCGCCAAAATTCGCTGAAAAAGTGACAAATTTCGAGAACAAAAAATATTACGAAAATCATTCCGCTCGAAACTCGCAAGAAAATTTTTCGCGTGCGCCTTCAACGTACTGTAGTTAAAGCACGACTTCGGAAAAAAAAATCGAAATTGATTCTGAAAAAAAAACTTTGAACGTATTCCGAATACTTTTTTTTGAAATTTCGTTCCGAAAAATTATTCGGAATTTTTTTTCGAAAATAGTAGGAATTTCAGAAACTGTCCGAACATCAGAATGTTGAAAAAAACGAAAAGGTGAAATGCTGAAAAAACCAATCCGAGATAGAATCGGATTCTATTTATATAAGGGCTATACATATTGTTGTGCACACTTTTCAGCCAAAATCATCTTTAAAGTTAAATCCTTGAGACAACTGTCCACTCTGGTGATGCACCGACTGGGAACGTTAGATCTTGGCTTTTGAATCTGCTGACATATTTCATTTCATCATTCCCTCTCTTTTTGTTCCCAATAAAAATTTTCCCAAAAGTCACAGAATAACAACACTTCTTCAGTTTCTAACTTTTTTGTTTACTAATCCACTAATCCCCCCAAAAACATTTCATAGTTGCGTAATCGTCGTCATTTGGGTGCTCTTCCGAAAGCTTTACATACTCTATCCATCGAATAAGTTTCCTGTTTTGCATGCCCTTGAGCAAACGTATTTATTTCTATATGTGCATACGGGGTGGTCCCCTAAAGATGACGAATAAGTAGAGAAGTCTTGTAATTTGAGAGGAGCGAAGCGAGTGTGTTCTAAACTCTTTTCTTGGTTTGAACGCCTTCTATTAAAGAAGTCAAACCACTTAAGATTCCTACTTCTTCACTTATTCAACTATGCATCTGGAATGAGAGTCAACACATTCAACCGTTTCGGTTTTATATTCTAGCCTTACATTGTGCTTCATGTTGGACTACAATTCCTTTTCCTTCAAATTTAATTAGGAGCCCGTGTGAAGGTTTCCGAAAAATGAATTAACCCAATCTGGTTAATCCTGCATCTACAAAATAGACCAACCCGCACCATTTCAACAATGAAAGTCTTGAAACAATTCTTGGTATATTTAAATATTTCTAAAAGTTAAATACACGGTAAGATGGCATCTCCTTCTAATGTTATTCCAGAAGACATTGTTCAGACAACCCGACAACCCTAACCCTTATTATCCTTCATTTCTTGCCGTTTCGCCGTTGTTTACCGTGTTCGTTTCATTTCATTTCCGCGCATTCTTCCCACCTAATCCCACATGCTCCCATTGCTTTTTACGCCATGTGTTCTCTTTTCCATCACCTCTTTTGCCCTCTCATTCTTTTTTCCCTTTTGTGCACTAATTGCCCATCTTGCAATAACACTGACTGACTCTTCTCCACCCTAGGGTCCTTCCGTCCAGCCGTTTGGTCATCCCTAACACATTAACACGATTATTTATTTATGTTTCGCAGATTCTCCCCCTGTCATTCTTCCGTTCTATTGTTTTCTTCGAGATTTATGAGAGAGAGACACTTACCAACAATATGCATATCGAGTTTCCGGAAAACAGTTCGATGGCATTTTCAAGGATTTTCCCTTCCGCATCCTACTTTTATTTTATTGTTTTGAATTTGGATGCTCTAATAGTGAAAAGCATTCACAGGATAATTCTCATTTCTGATAAAATTCTGGAAAAATAACTAACTAGGAATCTGGTTGAAGTCAAACATTATGAATTGAAATTGCAAATAACTATTTATGTATAGCTAAATTTGAGAGACCCAGAATTTTTAAATGCTGTTGAAGCTCGAAGGTATTTTTGGAGCCGATTTTGGAGCCCTCAGCAATTTTTAAAAGCTAATTCTGAAACTTCGATTCCAGATAAATCTTTTCAAAGTTCAGAATAAAGCAAGCATTTTGCTGAAAACTGAAAAAAAAACTAGTTTTGACATGATATGATGTTCTTGCTGGCATGTGAGTTACCGTAAAGCCTGTTATAGAAGAGCCCCGCCAAGTTTGAGCTCAATTACCTCAATTCCTATGCAAGTTATACAAAAGAGGTCAACTGACAAAACATTTATGATGTTATGATAAACAGTTTATCATTTGACAACTTTTTTTATATCTTTGACAGGAAATGAGAAAAATTGGCTCAAAGTTGAAAGATTGGGGGCCCTTGTATTACAGGTTTTACAGTAGCACGGTGTTTTTTTCGGAACGTCTTGTAAAATGCTTGTTAATGCGCTCTAACACACAGGCTTTGGTCTCGACGCGAAAACTTTAAAACGAATAGCCGATTCTTACGGTTTTGTGGCATGCGACCAAAAAAAAACGGCGCGAAAAAATTTATTTTAAAATGCGTTCCGGAAAATTCACCGTGCAATAGCTAGTTAAGGAGTTGTAAATTGTAGAGGTTCTCCAGTAAAATTGAACAAACTTAATTTTTTTTAAAACTGAAAATGCTTAAATATTTTCTAAAATTTTCCGATTCATCCTTCTATCTATTCCAATTGTGGACCACACACACACACACACACACAATCATCCAACCACAGATGAAAATCCGTTTAGCGGACGACGAAGCCTTTCGAATACTTTTCTGTGTGGTCTTCTTCGTCTTTCTATTTTCTACTTTGCCTTTTTCATTTATTCTCCAGTTCCAAACTCTCATAAAGGGATTACTGTACTATGGCAACTTTCAAGGCACATTCTTCTAATCCTCGAGAAATCATGACATTTTGATCTTTCGATGAGAGTGTCTTCTTCTTGGAGTCAAGGGACTCCCTTCTGATTTTGCGTGCCACGAAAAATACTTCTTGTCATCTGTGTTTTTTTCTTGTCTTTTGACACTCGACTTCTACATTTTTGAAAACGTATTCTGTGCCTTCTTCTTCTTCTATTTTGCACACGAACTTCATCTTTTTTATTGCATTCCGACACGAAACTTAGACCTCTTTTCATAAACACAATATTTTTTTTCTTCAAAAATGGAAAAATTGTCATTTTCTTGACTTTTTATTGTTTTTTTTGTGTTGTTTCATATTCTGTGAAGTAGTCCGCTCCGGAAGGAAACTCAAAAACTTTCCTTCTGGGCATGGGAGGTCGTAAATTTGTTTTTTTTTCTTTGCTTTCTGGAAGTCTCAGAAAACCTATAGAATCGTTTTTTTTTATGATTGAAAAGTCTATTAGGGGAGCGGATTTATTCCATGCTCAAAAGTACAGTACCGGTCTGTTAGATATACAAAAACCTGTTTTTCAGTTGGATTTTTACTATTTTCAGGGATCTGGAGCTCGGCTGTCTAGTGCCAAATCACTTTAAAAATTTTGGATGTTACAAAACATACGTAGGTTGAAAACTTTGCACTCACAGAATTTTTTGAAAATCCCTAGTTTTTAGGCTATTTGCCGATTTCTAAAGAACAACTTTTTTCAGTACAACAACAGGAAAAAAGAGGTGTCTTTCAAATATCAAATAGCTGAAAAACTAGGAATTTTCAACAAAAATTTGTTAGTGCAAAGTTCTAGGTCTGTTTTAAAAACTCCGAAATTTTCAAATTTATCGGACACTCGCAGCCGAGCTTCAGACCCCTGAAAATGGTCAAAATCAACTGAAAACAAGTTTTTGTATAATTTATTGACCGGTACTGTGTATCAATTCTTCAGTGTTTTCAAGTACATACCATATGCAAATGAATTGTTTCCCGATGCCTGCTGTTGTGGTCTTTTTCTGCAAAACGATACAGAAACTTTTTTTCCACAGAATTAGAATCTGGACCGGTTCTTTGAAGCCCGAATTGAAAGAGACTTTTATGTGAGCAGAAACTAGACCAGCAAAAGTTAAATTAACTTAAAAGAAAGTTTAAGTCAAATTTTACAAGTTTGGTGGTCTTGAGTGGCTATAATGATGATTCCATCTCCAACTGTCACTGAAATCACTTGAATGGAATCCACCCACTTCCTGTGCAAACAACTCATTTTGCTCCCATCAAAGCCTGCTTATCCGTATCGGTCATTTTTCTTTGTGTTCCTGAAACCTTCCGGTGGTCTCTTCTCAACCTCCATCGTCTTCTTCTCCGTTAATGATCTCTTTCTCGTTTCCGTTGGTTCGAAGCCCCCCGACACTAGCCCTTCTTCTTCTTTCTGCCATCTTTTCCTTTACTTCTTTGCCTTCTTCTTCCATTGCTTCTCCTCCGCTTCTCAAAATTAATTTCTTGCGCTCATCGTCCTCTTCCCCACCGCCCATCTTCATCGTCCCCATCTGACGTCTTCCGTTGGTAGACTCGTCAAAATGGTGGCAGGAGAAGCTCATAAGTCGAAAAAAAGAAACAAGCCCATCCGCTTCTCATTTCACTTTGTGATAGGGTGTGTAGGCCAAAAAAAGAAAGAAGATGACTCCTATTTTGGATGTGTTGCGAAATTTGTCCGTTATCTGATTATAGGATGGGCGGAAAACACGGCGAGAGCCTTCTTGTTTTTGCAGAGCTATTACTTTCTTTTTGGTTTTCCCCATTTTAGGTACCTCTTGTTTCATTTTAGGATTTTAGAACTATGATTTAGGAGTTGTTGTAGTATTTTCAGAACCAATAGGTGATACTTGAAATTATGTAAAGTTTGAAATCAGAAAAAAGTGTTTGCGAAAATCAAACAGGTAACATATTCCCTGTTGAACTGGATTCCAATTTTTCTATTTTCAGAGAGTTAATTTTTAAAGGTTCCTACTGTTAAAATTTTTTATTCAATCATATCCTTTCCTGTAAACTCACCTCCACTTTTATACTAAAACTTCTTTTTGATACCATAACCACTCTAATAGAAGTCCCCTCCTGCAGACTGTTAACGTTGAGCTCACATATCTCATTTTCCATAAAAGATATCAAAAGGTAGTCAACTGACAAATTGTTCATCATAATACCACCAATATTTTGTCAGTTGACTACTTTTTGGTATCTTTCACAGAAACCGAGATAAATTGGCCTAAAGTTTAATGTTAAGGCTGGCGCTCTATTAGAGTTATTGCGGTAATTTGGTTGAACCAAACTGCCATGCTCTAAAAAATAATCAATTCCATCGTTTAAGTTTTGATTTTGAAAAAAAACATTACACTTATAATTTTCATTTGGCAGGTTCTTTAAGAACTATTAGCTTTGGCCTACCTCTCGATAATCCTCTTGATTTTTTTACTTTACCACATTTTTCCATATCTGCTCGTTTCAAAACTTTACATCCCGAATCTCTCGGAAACTCTTCCACAACCAATTATTTAAAACTTCCTTATCTCTCATCTCCGATCTCGTCGTCTTGCTCCTTTTCTGGAAGGAACATTGTGCAATAGATTTGTTGAAGAGATACACAAAAAGACACAAATTATGCAAGTGGTTTGAGTGGAAGAAGGCACGAAGAAAGCTGGACGACTGAGAATAGAAGAAGAACTGAAGAATACAAGAGAAAAGCGAAGGGAGGGGTTGCACCAGCTCCAAAATCGCGCAATTTGATGCTAATACATAGCTTTTCGATTCGAAATGGGGGTGGACACAAGATGGACTCATCGTATTTCATTACCATTCTTTTCTACTACTACTACTACAACTTCCTCTTTTTTATTATGTTTCTGGTTTGAAATTTTTTCAGAAATGAGAAAAAAAAACTGAACTGACATAAAAACCGCCACTTATCTCCCATTTTTCCCCCATTTTTCTCCCATTTCCGTTTTTTTCTAAATCGGCTTTTCTGCTCCCGCACAATTATTTTCTGCCCTCTATTTCTTTTTTTTTTCATCGACTCCTTTTTTGATTGTTGTACTAACTAAAATCTCTTTTTCAGAGGAATGAGCGACTCCAGTCCGTCGCCATTACGATCACCAGAAGACGAGGAGTTATTAGCCAAATCATCCAGAATACGATTATGGGTCACAAAACGAATGAAAGAGGTGAGTTGTTGTAATTTATGTTGATCTTCTTATCGGGAAATGGAACTTGACATAGTTCCACACTAAACATTGTGTGTCTTTTTCGCAAAAAATATATGTTGTTCTACCTCAATTCTGAATTCTCGACTGTCATCTTGCAACTTCTTGTCACAAATGTAGGGTGTTCAGTTTTTGGACGGATATTGGCCAGGTCCTAGTCAGAACTTGCCCAAAAACGGTTGTCTTATCCAAAATCTGACCATCCTCCGACCAGAAGTTGCCGGCGGTGCCAGAGTTGATTCATTCTTACTATTAGTGTTTTGCATCTCACCACTTTTTTATACCCATTTTCACTACTTACTAACTTTTTCATTTGTTTTTTCGAACATCCCAAAGAGCGGTTGTCAACAAGTCATAATAAATGGGACAATATTAGTCCGTATTAGCTATTCTTGCATCTCGTGGCCTATTTATAATGCCAACTCATTTCCCTATGTTCTCTTTTGATTCACTGTTCCTATCAGAATGGTAATTGGTAGGTCTTTTGGTTTTCAGTGGTTAGAAATAATCAGAGGCCACCGACATTCGTTTTTCAAGCTGGAGATTTTAAAATCCCCATTTTTGTTTATCAGATCGTTTGGATCATTTTCACGGCTTCAATCCGATTTCCGTACTAAAAACCACAAGAAGCGTTTAATCAGAAGAAGATGTTAATGCGAATCTTTATTCTGCACTTCTCCAATAAGTTATTTCTAGTTTTTTCTCCGGAAATTGCATTATAAGCTTACCATAAAACCTGTAGGCATAGGGTCCCATAACTTTCAGCTCTGAGCCAATTTATCTCGTTTTTCTGTCAAAGATATAAAAAAGCTGTCAACTGATAAAATGTATATCATAATATCACAAACATTTTATCAGTAGATACAGTCCTGATATCTTGCATAGAAGTCAAGAAGGATCAGCTCAAACTTGACAGTATGGGGGTCTTTAAATTTCAAGTTTTACGGTGCACCTAGAAAGTTAGAAAACATGATATTCAGAAAATCTGCAACAACGAGATATAAAACAAGTTTTTGAGGCCAGAAATTATGAGCAAGGGCAAATAGCTCAAACAATGTAGACACATGTTGGTAGTTGTCCCAAATATCAGGTTACCTTCCTTCCTGACAACATTTCTTGACGTCTCCCTTCCGACATGGCCCTCGTTTTCTTTCTTTCAGAATGTCTTGTTCCAAAAAAAAGGTTCAGGTATTCAAATGAATACAATTTTTAGTTATTTGTGTTGTCTTGAAAGTATTGGAAGTAAGAAATTGGTACCCCACTAAATAATAGAAATTTGCATAATGAATGAGTGACGGATGGTTGATTTTTCCTCAAGAGAATGAAAAGACGAAGACGTATTCTGAACTCAAATCCCATAGGAGACTTCATGCCTTGACTTGAGTTTACGAACGTCATTTTGTTGAACCACTACATTTGTTAACTTTTTGCTTTGGTTACGTTTTAAAAGTATTTTTGAATTCAAATTTTAAAATTTTGGCGCCTCCGTACCACCCGCAAAGTATCATTGTTCGATTGTGGAGTGTCCTCCAAAAACCTACATTTCTTGTCCACATTTATCTTCATTGACACCTTCTGATTTTTCTGTTTTTTGTTCTTCTCGATCACAAAAGACAACACCAGTTTGCCTTCTCATTTTCTAACATGACCATTTCGCTTTTCGCTCTTTCTACATCCGTTATCAAAAGTATTACGAATATTACGGTTATTAGGAGAAAATAAGAAAAAAAGAACAGGTCATTAATGTATATTAGCAAGTAGTAGTACCGATTATCTACACTTGTATAGTTGTTTCTTTCCAATTCTAATATTCTCCACCCATTCATTTGTAATTCAGAATTCAGAATTTTCAATTTATCTCCCCTTTGGAGGGTGGGTTTTTGCGGTGAATTGGTGAGCAGTTCGTTTTTATTTTCCCTTGTTTATTTACTTTCTAAACGGCTCTCGCTCTTTTCTAAAATAATTTGGAAAAGATATTCTGGACATTTGTATTTTTTCTATTTTCAGTTTGGTATAGTTATTTTCTAGCTGAAATTTTTAATTTTGAAACTATAATACATTTCCTACTCATCTGGAGAATTGAGGTAGAAATTGTAGCCGGATGTAAGAAGAGTTAAAAAACCTGGTTTCTTGTATTTAAAGTCTTCATCAAAATTCTGAACTTCTCATTGTTAGTATCTTTCAGAAATGAAATGTTGAGTGGGTGTACTCACCCATCAAAAGTGCTTGGCAACTAAAAACTGCCCTTGAGTTTAGAAAAGGCCTTTAGATTGAAACCCTTTGATTTATCATTCCTCTTGAAAAATATTCCTCAATCCCAACCGAAAAGCGGCAAAAAATTTTGGAACTACTATTCGAAATGCATGTAGTCAGTAGAGTGTACGCCCGAGTATATCGCCGCCACAAATCTCTACTTTTTTTTGTTGTTGAGTCGTTTTTGCCTTTTACACCCAATGTGGCCTATGGCATGTCAGCGAACCTAGGAAACTCTAGAAGATTGTCGTATATATTTTCTTACTTCTTCTTCATTTCTCGCTCACTCTCAAATTCAACCACTTCAATCAGAAGTGTGTTCCGTTCAAAATCATCTCAGATTTCTTTCGAATTTCCATCAATCTTCCACTCTTCCCACTACCCAATATAAAAGTGGAATCCCAGTCTTGCGCAGGCACCACCACCCAACCACTACTACTCACCCCAACCAACTTGGCCATAAAACAGTGAAAAGGCTGGCACATCTGGACACTTCTTTGCCCAATGAGAAACTAAAGTGAAGGTTTAGGAGTGCGCAATAACAGCCAGGTGCTCAGATTCCATTCTTTCGTATTTCCCCTTCTTCCTTAACTGTACACTTTTGAGAGGATGAATTTGGAAGAAAATTCAGAGAATCCGTTCGCCTCATTAATCAAATTTTTGTTGCCGTTTCATTTGTCACGACGAACACAGAAACACTTCATCTTGAGAACGATGTTTTTTGCTTCCGAAACGTGTTCCATTTGCAGTTAGTTTCTTTGGGAGAAGCATAATATAGCAGAGAATGTACTTTTTTCCAGACTAACATTTAGTTAATTGACTTTCAGTTTCATCTTCTACTGAAAATAATTCAGATAATTCTCTGTAGCTCTAGAAAAAGGCATAATGATGGCAACTATGAACATTTCCTCCAGAACTATTTTTTCCCATTTCTTGTCTTCAGTTAACAGCTTATCAGTGACGTTAAACGTTCAATAAATTGAAAGTGAGATAACATCTGTTTCCGGTGTGACGTGAGTGTCTTATTCTCTTCCTCTCATATTTTGAATCCAATTACTTTTTCATCTAAATCTCTTTTTCGCGCACTTTCAAGTGTTCTCTTCATCCTTCCCTTCCTCATCCATCATATTCTATATACTCTTATTCTCATTAATTTTGCAATTACTATGCAGTTGTGAATATAAGCTTCAAGCTCTTCTTATTCTTCCTTCCCCATTCCACTATGACACTTTCGGTCATTTTGCTATCCGTTTTTCGTTTTCTTATGCATTTCAAATCGAGTCGTCTCAAAACATCTCTAGAGGGATGAAATACAAGATTTTATTGGTTCCGAAAACGGCTAGCACAGCTTTTTTCTTTTCTTTTTGGTCAACTAGTTTTGCAAAAACTAAACAAATCGGAAGAGGTCAAAAGAGAGTTCGACGAGTATCAAGAATCGAAACGGCTACTTATGTCTCTCCCAAATGGTCTGAGTTGTACTTTTAAGAAGTGCTCATGACCTTGTGACCTCAATAAATTGAGAGTTTTGTTGTGCATTCATGTTCATGCGTTCATTTTTTGGGAACTTTCCTGGTTTGACTAAAAATTAACGTACCATATTTCCTCTAATAGAAGCCCACCCAAGAAGTAAACTTTGAGCGCAATCTCGATTCCTAGGAAAGATATCAAATATTTGTCAACGGATAAAATGTTTCTCATTTGGGCTTCTAGAGTTGACGGTTGGGGTGGGCTCCGAAGAGTTGGGCGGCTTCGCGGTACCGTAATTTTAAAAAAATCACTTTGGCTCCTTTCAAAAAGGCCAAAAATTTTAACTGATAAAACGTTTGCGGTATTATGTTTGTATTATGTCTGTTTAATTTTGAAATCTAGAAAAGTTGAAATCTCTTCTGAAAATTCGAAGAATCGAATTTCTTGAAAATCTATCGATTCCTAAATTGCCCAATTTCAAAGCTAACTTCAAGGTCCACCTAGAAGTCACCGCCCTTTTCATCGTCATCCATCAACTCTCTTTTTCCTCCAACTTTATTAATTACATACTTTTTTTCATGTTGGTGGTCCGCTTCTTCCTCTTCTTTTTTCTCTTTTTTTTTCTTCCAATTTTCCATTTCAAGGCAATATATCCAGGCACATCAATTCAATTTGTCAATTGTATGTTCTCTGCGTCTTTTTTGTCTTTCTATTTAACTCAACCTACTCTCTTCTTCTAATTTCGGAACCCACTCTCTTCATTTTTCATGCCGCGGCTTCTTCTTCTTCGGAATCGACCTCCCCTTTCCTTTTTTTTCCGTCTTTTTGGTGGATCACATCCGTACGCAATGCGAAACTGACTACTACTAGCCCCGCCCACTAATTTTCCCCACTAATTACGATAAAACACGCTAAACAACATTTTAGAAATTGGGAGGAGGAGATGGAAGAGTATATGCAAATGTATGTGGATATGGATGTAAACGAAACGCAGAAGGGGTTTATAAAATTCGGTGGTGTTGCGTCTTCTTCATTTTCATCTTCTTTTCATCCTCCTTTTTTTTCAAAATGTTTGTAAGGAAATTACGAGAAAAAAAGAAGAAGGAAACCGATAAAAATTTCATGGTGTGTCCAGCAGCCATTCTGAATGTGTTTATGTATTTTTTCGCCATTTCCTGTCACCATCTCAGCCTGATTTTGAAGGATTCGCTGGTTGATCTTTTGGTTATTTTTTTTCAAATTTCTGATGTTTAATTTAATTCTGGAACTTTAGATAATTGAATAAACGCGTGGTACAACATACCGTAAAACCTGTAATAGAAGAGCCTCCAACTTTTAGAGCCAATTTTTCCCCGTCCCTGTCAAAGATACAAAAAAGGTGTCAACTGATAAACTATTTCATAATGTTAGAAATGTTTTGTCAGTTGACACATTTTTGATATCTTGGATAGGAGGCAAGAAAAATCAGTTCAAACATGACAGTATGGGAGCCTTTCTATTACAGGTTTTACGTTAGGCGTCTCAATTAAGGACAGTAACCATCTGATAGTGAGTCAGATGAATTAGAACTTCATAGCTTTGAGTGATTCAAAATCGGAGTCCACAGTATTTCTCAACCCCCATTCCATGACAGAAACTCATTCGTCAAAATATTCTTAAATAGAAAATTCGTTCCTTTTCTCATTGTCTCCTAGCTTCTAATTCTTTTTCTCTCCTCCATCTAATCCATGTATCAGAATCCCTTCCATGTCAAACAAAAAATGCAAAAACCCAAGAAGAAACCAAAGGAATGTTAGCTCCACGATCCTTTCTCTCTCTCTCTCTTTCTAAACTTTGGGCATCTTGACAAATGGTTTTCCGTCTTCGTTTCCCTTTGCTCCCAGAGACCTCGACTCCCTTGTGCCGCCACCAACACTACCACATTTTTCGTCAATCATCTCCCCGTTTTTCTGTGTGGCGCATTCGACTGACCCGGATTTTTTCTTTTGAAACTGAGGAGCAAGTGTTGAAAATATCAAGATACACACCTGCTTGATAATTAATTGGTCGTTCGCTCACTTTCTGACTTCAATTTCTCTTTTCTTTATACTTCTTTTTTACAGCTCGAGGATCAAAACGAACGACTTCGAGCTCAAAACTTGCGGTGTACTACACAACTACAAATGCTCCGAAGTTTTACGGAAAAATCAAGAAAGATCAAAGCAGAAATGGAGATGAGCAGAAGCATTACTGTAAGTTCTTCAAAAAGTTAACATTTTCTTCACTTTCATATGTTCAGGGCACACTGCCAGTGTTACGAGATGAGAACAGAACATCTGATGACAGCGGACTGACTTCTGACGACACGGATCGAAAACAGATGAGCGTCAGCATATCAGAATGTACTCCGAGAGTTCAGAGAAAAGCTAGTAAGTTTTCATTCAGAATATACTTTTCACACTTCGTTTTTTTTTCAGCTCGAACAATGTTGAAAAACACGTCTCAAGGGTCTTCTACATCAGAATCTTCGCCTTGTGAAGACGAGGCAAAACCGATGCCACTGCCGAGAAGGATTCACCAGTCAATGGTATTTTTTTTAAATTTCGATTGCAGATCTTAAAATATCAACATTTTCAGACCGAAAGAGATAGTTTGAACTCGTATGCAGAAGATTACGAGTACGATATCGAAGAGTCTTCATTTGAAAGAATCGAAGAACGAGTGAAGAATGAAAACGAGAAATATGCTGATTATGTGAATCTTCATGAATTCGTGGCCATAAAAGACGATAAAGTTGTCTACTCGGAAATCGTGAAGCATCGATCTGTGGAGAAAGAAGTCCTGCCAACTCTTCCATCTCATCAACCAAGACATTGGGAAACACGACTAATCCAAGCAGCTGAAAAATGTTTGTCCGTGATAGACGGAGCAGATTCCGAAGGAACTTCTACTGGCCCATCTGTGTCACCATATCATATTTCTGATGTATCCAGAATCTCATCAAACAACAGAACGGAATCTCCTGGATCCAGAAAATCATCGAAACTATCAAGAAACTCCTCACCCAGAGTGCCATCACATCATTCTTATGAAGATGGGGCTGCCTATGCAATCAGGGATTTGTGTTTGGGAAGTGACTACTATACACCACCAGATGCCTCTTCGAGATATTCTTCTGGAACTCCGAATTCTAGAACTTCTCTTATACCATCTCGAGAGACAATGGAGAAGGCTGGATATTGGACACATCTTACGGATAGCAGAATAAAATCATTGAAAAGAAGATATGTAGTGTTGCGGAATGGGTATATCTGTTTCTATCGGGTAATTTTAAGAATTTGAGACGAGAAAGTTAATTTTTGTAATTTCAGAAGCATGGTAACAGAGATGAAGAACCAGTTAATAAAATAAACATCTCGGATATTCGATCAGTTTCAAAAATTGAACAACAAGGAGCCGCTTATGCATTTCAACTGATTACAGCATCTGATAAAATGAACTTCATGACTGAAAGTGAGAAGACAACACACGACTGGGTCACAATTTTATCTGCTGCTATAAAAGGTTATTTTTAAATTTTACAGAAATCCGAGAATTATATATTTTCAGCAACGACACTACGAGAAATGGCTAGTCGTGTAACTCCGATCGATGCTTCTATCAGTGGATGGATGACACGTGTCAAATGCGGTCTCTCGAAGAAAGTGTTTGCTGCATTGGTGAACCAGAAGCTGATGTTCTTCAAAAATTCGAACGATTTGGTCCCCAATGGATTTCTATGCTTACAAGGATCACAAATCAGTGAGAAACAGAACGGAACGGAAGAGTATTCTGGAAGTAGTGATGAGCAATTGGAGACAACCAAAGAGCATCCAAATCAGAGAAAAAACAACGACAGTTTATGTGTACAAATCGCTCAAGAGGATCCTGTTTATTTGATTTTGAGAACGTCGGAAGAAAAGGAAAAATGGTTGTACTTTTTAAAAGCTGCTAGTGGAACTGCTGCTCTTTGTGGTACTCCTTTCGAGATTCTTGTCCAAAGAATGATGGCTGAAAATGTTGCAAATGGTGAGTGAAATTTTGAAATGCAGAGATAATTTTCAAAAAAGGATATGCAGATTCTCCACTCTGGAAAGATTTGTTATTCACATCTGGAGAAGAAATTCCAAAAGACACAATGACTTCCGTCGATCCGAGTGAGCGAAAAAAGACATTGGAAATCGCAAAAGCATGTCAATTGTTCGTATCGGTTCTGATGCGTCCTCAGGCGACTCAATATCATATAGACCTGGCACAAAATATTCTTTCAACTGCAGTTCAACAAGAATATTTGAGAAATGAAGTATATTCTCAACTGATCAAAATGACTAGTGGATCTATGCCATTTGGACTACAAGGATGGAAACTTCTAGCTCTAACAATCCCGTTATTCCTTCCAAAACAGTATTCTTTACTATGGCTTCTGAAACGTCATATTTCTCGATGGGTCGATTTACCGTAAGTCATTATATCCGGGACTACTTTCTTAAAACTATCTGACTCTCAGAAACGAATCTGACGAAACTCGAATGGCAATATTTTGTGAAAGTGCATTGGATAGATGTCTACGTGTCGGAGGAAGACAAGAAGGACCGAGTCGTTTGGAAGTAACATCTATTCTCACAAGAGATGTTACCAGAACTAAATTCCCTCATTCGATATCTGTCAAACTTCCGAATGCTGAATATCAAATCGTGGAATTTGATGGATCCACTGAAATAGGTCAATGCCTTTCCTCACTCTGTCTGAAACTTGGAATGCGTCCAGCTCTTCTCTCTGGATATGCTCTTTACATGAACGATCCACTCACTCACAGTCTTATTCTTCTCAAAGGAAAACAGAAACTGTGTGATTCCCTATCAACGTGGGAATCTCGTTCAAGAGATGCTCAACGAGGAAGAATATCATCAGATTGTGCAGCTGCACTTTCTCTTCGAATGCGTCATTATTGGAGTCACTTGAAAAGTACTGAAACACCAATCGAACGACAGTTCTTAGTGTGGAGAGCATCCGAAGAGATAGTTAATGGAAGAATACCGCTGAGCAATCAACTGTGTGAGAGTTTGGCAGCCCTCTATGCTCAAATGGTATTTGGAGATGCGAATCAATCATTGTCTGATCAGCAGTTTGATTTTATTAGCCAGCGTTTTTATCCATCGAAAATGTTAGATGTCGCATGCATCAAAAGTTTAAGGTAAGTCTGAAAAATAAGAAACTTCCGATATCATTATCTATTTCCAGACTTCAAATCAATACAAACTGGAATGAATTAGTGGGAATGAGTGAACAAGAATGCGTTCGTGTAATTCTCCAAGTTCTGAACAAATGGCCTCTTTTCGGATGTGATCTTCATGAAGCATCAATGAGAACTGACAATGAGAGAAAAATATATTTGGCTCTCAATGATCATTCTGTCAGTTTACTTGATCGGAGACATTTCGTAAGTTAAATTTCTATTTAACCAAAAAAACTCCTTATTTTCAGGACGTCATCCGCACCATCTCCTACAGTAGTCTTTCTACATTTGGTCAATTTCAACAAGATTTTATGTTAACCGTAATCCGTCCTCTGACACCCGGATCTCATCCTGATGAAGCGCCGAAAGAACGGCTGACATTCTCAATGCAAAAGAATGAAATAGAACAACTAACACTTCATCTTGCAGAATATATTCGTTGTCAAAAACTTGTCTGGAAAGTTTCTAAATAAATTTAATTAAATTATGATACACATTTTCACTTCTTTTTGAGTGCTCTTTTCTGTTACGGTGATTTCATTTCAATTGTGGTTCTATTATTTTAAGTGCTCTTTAGACTTATAGCTTTGTGAAGGAGATAATTTTGCTTTATGTCATTTTAAATATTCATTAATTTATTATGTTCGTTTTAATAAAATATTTGTCATTAATGTTGTCTAATCATAGAAAACGAAAATGAGTCATTAAAACTTTATGAGATTTGCACGACATTTATTCTTCCACCTGTAGGATTTGAACTTCCTTGTGAACCAGCTGCAACTTTGGTCGTAATTAACTTTCTGATTTCCCTTGATGTGAAAAATACGAAACAGGGAGTAACGAGTCCAGCAAATATTTCAGACTGAAATACAAAAAATTAGGTCCAAATCAAAAATTATTTATAGGTACCGTATGAATAGCTCTTTTGAGATAAAAGGCAGTGGCCACGTTTACTGTTATAGTTTTGGCATATAGGATGACAATGTTATATATCTGGAAGGAAGAAATAAACAAAAATTATTGAAATTCCAGTTACCTGAAACATGACAAAAATGAAAAACGCTTGCTTCAGAATGATCACTTCGTTTTTGTTCCTTGAACTCTTTTTCATTTTCAACAATCGTATAACTAGCACAATATACAGAATGAGTATTAGGATTGGAATCACAATTTGAATTAAATCTTCTAGCTGAAATCACTTTTTTTTTAATTT